ACCATATAAGGATCAAATTTTATTACCTTTAGATATTTTTTGCAATGAAAATATAAAAGGAATACATTTTTTTTATATAAAACCTAAAATAATACAACAAAAATTAATGCTTGTACTAAAAAATACTAGAAGTTTTCATTAATTTGTAACCAAAAATTTACAAATTATTCAGGTTCGAAGTACATCGGAATCAAACCGTTTTATAAATAAAAAATATTAAAAAGAACAAAATTTGGAGCTTTAATAAACCAATAATTAATTATTAATTATGTTAAATTTTATTAGGGTTACCTTACTCTCTAAAAATGAAATAGTCAAAATTCTACTATTTGAATTAGTACCAGCATTTTTTACTAATAAAATAGTCGTTTTCACTTTTAAATAGTTATTTTTTACTATGTAAATAGTTAAAGTTTGACTAATTTAAGATTAGTCACCATATTTGACTATTTCTGACAGTTAAAAGTAACTAATTTCTTTAGTCGTTTACGGCCAACAACAAAGTATTATTTGAATTAAATGCATATACCATGGTTAAATGACCCATAAAACAAATAAAGATGCAAAAAGTTTAGCTCAAAATAGCAACACAAATAATATATTAAACTTTAAAATATTATGAACAATATTTATTGACAAATTAAATTAAATTTTATAAGAGCGGCTGACAGCCGAATGCGTTAAGAGGTTAGCTTGACAAACTTGTCAAGTGACAGACCTGAGTTCAATCCCAGGTGGGTCAAAACTTTTTTTAAATTTAAATTTACTAATTTGACTATTTCATTAAGTGGAATTTGACTAATTATTAGTGACTGCTTTTTCACTATGACAATTAGTCAAATATGACTTATAATTAGTTATTTTTGACTAATTCATTTTAAGAGAGTATACTCTCTAAAAATGAAATAGTCAAAATTCTACTATTTGAATTAGTACCAGCATTTTTTACTAATAAAATAGTCGTTTTCACTTTTAAATAGTTATTTTTTACTACGTAAATAGTTAAAGTTTGACTAATTTAAGATTAGTCACCATATTTGACTATTTCTGATAGTTAAAAGTAACTAATTTCTTTAATCGTTTACGGCCAACAACAAAGTATTATTTGAATTAAATGCATATACCTCTCCATGGTTAAATGACCCATAAAACAAATAAAGATGCAAAAAGTTTAGATCAAAACAGTAACACAAATAATATATTAAACTTTAAAATATTATGAACAATATTTATTGACAAATAAAATTTATTTTTATAAGAGCGGCTGACAGCCGACTGGTTATGAGGTTAGGTTGACAAGCTTCTCAAGTGACAGACGTGAGTTCAATAACAGGCTGGGTCAAAACTTTTTTAAATTTAAATTTACTAATTTAACTATTTCATTCAGTGGAATTTGACTAATTATTAGTGACTGCTTTTTCGCTATGACAATTAGTCAAATATGACTTATACCTAATTAGTTATTTTTGCCTAATTCATTTTAAGAGAGTAGGGAATGTTATTAAATTTAAATTAACAACTACCTTAATAGATTAATAGATAAATTTAAGATTCCATGTAGAAAATCAATATAAATGTTACCTTTAACATAGTTTTGTATTATAAATTAAGTAACACTTGAATATATAAAGCATTGTTCACGATAAAAAAACAAGTTCTTTGTTAAAATTTATGCTAAAATACACATAATTATTCACTTAGGCATAGTACCAAAATTGTTCTTCTGTTAAATTAAATAAGTGAATCTGATTGGTTGCAATCATTTAACAGTAATAAAAATAACATAGGCGATCCATCATATTTAATCATTCTGTACCTTAAGATAACTTCTTCTTCTTCTTCAACTAGGGCGGATTTATGGCTTAACCACCGCCCTTATGGTCCTGGACATAGTCCTTATTAACCAGCTACTAGTTTTAACGTCCAATGATTTCAGAAGAACCAAAAACCATTGGACAACCGTTGTCTAACAAACACGTGGACACAAATAGGTTATGTAACCTTAAAATTTATAAATTTATATAAATTCCTCTTATCCCTTGTACAAGGACCAATCGAGGAATATTATCAAGAAACAGGAATATTTCTATTCCGGGAATCCAATTTTGTTCCTCCTAGGTCGAAGAGTCACCTATATTTCACACTTTTCATTGAGCGGTCCGTACCCTAGCACCAACAAAATCGAACTCCCCCCTTAAGATAACAATACAAATATTGTTTCAAATTGCGTCATCAATGTCGAATGTCAAAAACCGATTTCTCGACATACGGTTAACCTAAGACCGCGTTCGAAAACTCGCAAGAGTGCACTCTGGATACACTCCAAGTTTACCTTGCGCGTTCGAAATCTCTGGTATATACCTAGATATATGCAACTGTCAACTGTTCGAAAAGAGCAAGTATATGCCCAGAGTGCACTCTCGGTTGTCCAAGCTTTAGACTTGGTTAAGTTTTACCCGTCATGCGCATAGGGTACATCAAACAATAATTTGAATTTACCTTTATATAATTTATTAATATCCATTTAAAATTTAATAAAAAAACGAAAAACAGTTAAATAAAAGAATTTATTTAAAATAAATTATTTAACAAAAAAAAAAATAGCACAAAAACTTAAATAAACCATATAACTAAAGGGTTGACACAATAATTTAATATTTATATGTATTCAGTCAAATAACAAGCAAAACCAATTGGTTTTAGAACACTACAACATAAAGTTTATAGGTATATGCTCCGCGGCGTTCGAAAATAACAAGGAGGTCAGGTAAAATGTAAAGTCACGTGATTATATATCTATCCTTATACCATATCCAAAGTAGACTCTCATTTCGAACGCACTCTAGCGGTTCCTTGGATTATATACGTAAAAGAAAACAACAATAATTGTAATGTCTCTAAAAATGAAATAGTCAAAATTCTACTATTTAAATTAGTACCAGCATTTTTCACTAATAAAATAGTCGTTTTCACTTTTAAACAGTTATTTTTTACTACGTAAATAGTTAAAGTTTGACTAATTTAAGATTAGTCACCATATTTGACTATTTCTGACAGTTAAAAGTAACTAATTTCTTTAATCGTTTACTGCCAACAACAAATAATTATTTGAATTAAATGCATATACCTCTCCATGGTTAAATGACCCATAAAACAAATAAAGATGCAAAAAGTTTAGCTCAAAACAGTAACACAAATAATATATTAAACTTTAAAATATTATGAACAATATTTATTGACAAATAAAATTTATTTATTTCATACTGTACTTTAATGTGCCATTTCCCGGACTCATTTGAGTCCGGGAAATGATACATTACATCACTAGGCAGGTAAAGTAACTTTACCAGACTCGTATATTTTAACTAACACATGGTTATTTCTGAACGATTATAAGTTTTTGCGCCATTTACAGAATATCTCGTATTCCTTTTGATATCGTCCGGAAGACTTGACCGGGATAAGTTTCGCCGTCGCTTCAGAACTTTTTTTCAAAATCTCTGCATCCATTTTATTAGAAATTATTCAAAACCACAGATTCAAAACGATGCTGAACTGACCGACAAGACAATCAATAAAAAACTCTTTGTTACTGTTAGCAACCGATTTAAAGCATACTACATTATCACCCTATATTACTGGTGCTACATTTTATAGTTTGTTTAGACAATACTGATACCATCATGTACTGACACATTACTGACACCTTCACCTGAATACACAGTTCAATTTTTGTACCAAAAATTTGAAAAAAATATTGAATAGTATGAAATAAAACATTGTACGATACACGGCCGTGAAATGTCATTAAAGTACTTGTCTAGAAATTTCAGACTCGGCTCCTTCGTCGCCTAGTCCATAAACATCTAGACTCGTACTTTAATAAGCCATTTCCCGGCCTTGTAACGTAAATTACTATTTTATAAGAGCGGCTGACAGCCGACTGGTTATGAGGTTAGGTTGACAAGCTTCTCAAGTCACAGACGTGAGTTCAATCCCAGGCTGGGTCAAAACTTTTTTTAAATTTAAATTTACTAATTTAACTATTTCATTCAGTGGAATTTGACTAATTATTAGTGACTGCTTTTTCGCTATGACAATTAGTCAAATATGACTTATAATTAGTAATTTTTGACTAATTCATTTTAAGAGATCTGTGCTTGGTTCAGAATTTTATGACGCAATTTGAAACATTCGACGCGACAACTACATATATGTAAAATAGTTATTTAATGTTTATGTAGCTTAATCTTTACTATTTTATATTTCTTTTTCAAACACCTTTAAATAGCATTTTTTTTATCAAAGCCATCTTGATAAAAAAGACCATGAAAATAAATCCATATTCTATACAATTTATGGTATTTTAAACCGTTGTATTTTCCTAGCAAGGCAAATAAACAAAATATTTTTTGTTGAAGTTTTTAATTTATATTGAGGAGAACATTCTGTTAAATTTTTTTTCTCCAAAAATGGGAAATTTTCATAATTATGATGGTATTTCCTGTAATTTGGATACTTTTTTATAATTTCGCATTTTATATTTGAATCAATATTTATAATTACTTTAAATAAAAATATACACCAAATCATGGCAGAAAATTGACATTTTCAGTTAAAAAAAGCGTAAATTTAGCACTAAAAAAACTGCACTTGTAAAAACATTTGTATAATTTTAGGTAAATATATAAAAAGAACATTGTTTAATGGTTAAAACAAAATATTACGCGAGACAAAATATTAATAAACAACTTAGTTATAAAGGGTTTTCTTAGACACAGATTTGGTATTTTTTTATGCAAACCGGTCAACATGGCCTGCCTAATTCCTCAGGGTGTTTAAATAAAAAAAAATTATTGTGGTTTTTGTTCATCCTAAGCATTGGCCTTCACACCCTGAAAGTTTTAAGAAAATCCAATAAGGCCAGGTACCTACTTCTTAAATTATGGGTGAAAATTGTATATAAGCAAAAGAACATATTATAGTTCATCATATTTTAGCTTTAGAACAACAGCAGAACCAGAACCAGGAATATCGGAACCTGAACCAGGAACTGCGGAACCAGGAACTGAGAAACCTGAACCAGGAACAGCTGAACCTCAAGGAGTAAAATTTAAAAAAACATTATATAATAGAAGATCAGCTCCTTCGTATCCTGCATTGCTTAATGTTGACATTGTTGAAACAAGTATATCTTCTTCTACAAGTTCAGCTAAAGGTAAACGCTGTATTTATTTTATTATTCTTTAATTAAGGGTAAATTTATTTATATTGGATCTGGTTTTTTAGATGTTATAATTTTAATCCTAATTAATTTTTAATTTTTAAAATATATAAAAATGTAATTTAAAAAAATATATATAAGTTAATGTGGAGTTCGTCATAAATTGTGGAATTTTAAAAATTAAAAAATATATACATAGGTTTTGGCGTCTAAAAAATCAATTTGTACGGTCATTATAAATTTTTTTATAACACGCAATTCGATAGATATACGCAAATATCTAATGGACATACATTGAATATACATATTTTATCCAAGTGTCCGCCAGTTGGAAATCCCTAGTACCTACTCTCTTAAAATGAATGAGTCAAAAATAACTAAACTAAACTAAACTAAACGCGAAAATCACACTTAATTTTTTTTCATGGAAGCGTTTTCGAGATATGAATTTTCAACTGTTTTCTGAGGTGTTTTGACGTTTTAGAGTATACTTCGAATTCTAATTGATCGATTTGACCAAACAAGCACTTACAAAGGTATGATAAGTTTGATTTATTTTACGTATAGATTAGGGTGGTCCTTATTTAGGGTGTGTTCGAATTTTTCTTCACGATAGTCCTAAATAGGTTCCAAATATATAAAAAAAATGTGCCAAATTACAACTCTTAATTTTAAAATTAAGCCGGCCCCCCCGACAGCCAAAGTTTTAAATGTAAATAACATGGGAAAAGTTCTGTTATTACTTTGGATTTTTTTAAGTCATGAACTAATAAACGGATTATATAGAAGGATAAATATTCTTGTAACAAATTTAACGCTCTACAAAAAAGGTTTCCTGTGATTTTTTGCTAACTTGACTGGTTCAAAAGTTATTTGAGGTCAAAATCAAAGTTCTAGTCAATTCCATGGTTTTTCCATTTTTATTGTGGTTTGATGATTCAAAAATGTAAAAATGGTTATAATTTATATTCTAGATGACTTTTCTTATCTATGCTCTAAAAAAAAAAATATTTATTGATTAAATATTAATAAAATTTCAATGGATTAAAAAAAAACAGATGGTAAGGCGGTCGCTTGGCATGCTAGAGGTACCGGGTTCGATACTACTAGAAGTTGTCGAACTTTTTTTATTTTATATTATTTGTTGTTCCTTTGTTAAAAAGTGTTGGGTTGGGTTGGTTGGTTTGTTTTAGTTTTATCGTAACATAACAAATATTAAAATTATGACGTCACTCGGGACTAAACTTAAGTCCCGCCTCGGGACGGGAGCCACAGCAATGTTTTTATTAAGAAGTTTGAATTTAAAACTAGAGTTTATCAAAATTTTTACCAATTAAAATCAAAATCTTTTAACAATACCTATGTCCAAAATATCTTGCGTATCCCAAAAATCATTAAAAGTTACGACAGTGCAAAAATAAAAAAACAATTGGTGTAACTAACTTTTTAGGGCCACGATTACCCTGAAAGTTTTCTAAAAAATAGAACCATCTAAAATATAAATTATAACCCTTTTTACATTTTTGAATCATTAAACCACGTTAAAAATTGAAAAAAAACATAGAATTGACTAGAACTTCCATTTTGACCTCGAATAACTTTTGAACCAGTTAAGTTAGCAAAAAATCACAAGAAACCTTTTTTGTAGAGCGTTAAATTTGTTACAAGAATATTTATCCTTCTATATAATCCGTTTATTAGTTCATGACTTAAAAAAATCCAAAGTAACTTTTCCCATGTTATTTCCATTTAAAACTTTGGCTGTCGGGGGGGCCGGCTTAATTTTAAAACTAAGAGCTGCAATTTGGCACATTTTTTTTTTATTTATTTGGAACCTATTTAGGACTATCGTGAAGAAAAATTCGAACACACATCCTTGGGCACGTACAATAACGATAAGACGTAGGCTCATGCAGCAAAATAACAACTCTCGAACTTATTGTGTTGCCCAAGCACGTTTTGTGGTAGAATTGTTTTGTCTTTTTTTCTTAATTTCCAAAATTAAGTTTTGCATTTATTCATTAGTTAAACAAATGGCAAGCGCAATTATTCTGTTATATCTAATGTGTTTACAAATCCAAAAGAGTTTTAACCACTGAAAAATTCATAACTTCGCCATTTATAAATGGATTTTTATCAACAGCAGCTTATTTTTTTTCCTTTAAGTATAATCTATACTAGGGTGGTCCTTATTTAGAGTTAGGATTCATTACTTTTAAGTTAAAAAGTTAAAAGTTTTAACAATCAATACCTACGAAATATTAATGGTCAAATGTTTAGTAATGGTTATTTTACAGTTCGTATACTTATACAAAATATGTAATAAGTGCATAAGTTTTGGGTTAAGTTTTTCATTAAGTGTTATAAGAATAGATTAAAGGCGAATGTTACAAAAATAATATATTGCAAGAAATTTAAGTCAGATATGCCTTAAAAAATGTATGTCGTTGTTTATTTTGCAAATCTGTCAATATTAATTTTTTCTTAGGATTTCAAGATATTTAAAAAAATAAAAACTTCAATAAAAGTATTTACATTTATGTATAGTTATGTGCTAATTAGCAATATTAATATAAGTAAAAATACCACATAAGTAAACAATTAATAATTTTACACTGGATTTAACAAAGGAAAAATGTCTAGTTAAAAAAATACTGGTGAAGCCAATTATACTCATATAAATTAATTTGTATAGAAATAAATAAGAAGATTTTTTTATATTTATTATTTTTATATTGCAGTAATAATACTTGATAATATAATTATTCTAAATTATATAATAAAAGCTATAATTCTAATTTTATAATACGAGCCCTAACCACATAATGTTCGGACACTTCATAATTTATACAGAAATTTTTTTCGTGAATACTATCTCAAAATTATTAGAAGTTATGAAAAATTCAGATTATTTTGGCATGCTATTTTTAAAGAGTTTTTGCAATTTTCTTAGGAAACGGGAGATTTTGCAGATATATATATATCGCTATAACTTTCTTATTATTTATACAATTTTTACCAAATTTTCAGGGTTTGTATAATATTTTATGTTCTTTTTAATGGGCCCATTTATAACTTTTTTTACTCATGCAAAAAAAAGTTAAAAAGTTAGCCTTTTTTTAAAAGCTAAAAATAAAAGGTAAACTTTTTAAAAATAAAAATCGCTTCGAGGGGTATATGCCAAAATAAGCTGAATTTTTCATAACTTCTAATAATTTTGAGATAGTATTCACGAAAAAAATTTCTGTATAAATTATGAAGTGTCCGAACATTATGTGGTTAGGGCTCGTATTTATTACATGTTTATTGGGAAAAATTATCAATAATGAACTTAAGATTCTGAGATTTTATGTTCTCTTAAAAAACTTTTTAATAATACACATTTTTTTTAATTGTGAAATTTTAGCTATATGGATAATTATGATTATTAGTATTATACTATATTATAGTATTTCAGTATTCCAGCAAATACTATACACGAACACTACTACTATGACAAGCCCGTAAATTTAAGAAACCACAAATGCAGAGTATTAACGAATATTTAAAGCTTGACCTTGAATCTAAATATATATTTTTATACTAGTGAGATTTTCAACGTACCTATTAATAATATATGCTTGGGCTTTACAAGAACAAAAATGTTTCTACCGACAATCCTATAGGGAAATCTTTACCCCTCGTCTGCAGGGCTCCGAAGCGACCCATCCGTCTCCGGGCTTCAAAACATACCATTTATAGGTATATATATACAGGGTGTCCCAGAACTCGCGCCACAGAGAAAAAGGGGGCGTGCCTATAGCAATGGAGATGCCAAATTTAAAAATAAAAAATTTCTAGGTAATAGTGTAATCGAGGAAGAAAATATACCTCAGGACTGGAATCAGGGAATAATTATCAAGCTACCAAAAAAAGGAAACTTATCTGCATGTGAGAATTGGAGGCCAATTACACTTTTAAGCGTTGCAAGCAAAATAATGACAAAAATAATAATAGATCGAATGAGGGAACCGATAGATAAAAAACTACGAGAAAACCAAGCCGGATTTAGATCAAACAGATCGTGCATCGACCACATATGCACACTAAGACTTATCTTAGAAGAAGTAGCGGAAAAAAATGAAGAAATTCATATAAATTTTATCGACTTTGAAAAGGCGTTCGATTCAGTTAAAAGGGAAAGGATGTGGGATATTCTGAGGTTATATGGAGTACCTGAAAAATTTATAAAAATATTAAAAATGCTTTATGAAGAGTATATAGCAAAAATAGAACACGAAGGAAATCTCTCTGAGGGAATTAAACTAGAAAAGGGAGTGCGCCAAGGCTGTAGGATGTCACCCTTACTCTTTATAATAACTATGGACTGGGTTATGGAAAGAACTGAAGATCGGAAAAGTGGAATAATATGGGAAGTTTTTAAAAGGTTAGAAGACCTAGAATTCGCCGATGATATCTGTCTCCTGGCGACGAGAAAAAAGCATGTACAAGATAAAACAAAAAGGCTAGAAAGAAACGCACAGATAGTGGGTCTAAAAATTAACGCAAAAAAAACGAAACTGCTAACAAACAATGAAACCGAAGACAATATAATTATGGACGATAAAGAAATAGAAGAAGTAAAGGAATTCTGTTATTTGGGAAGTATAATTAGTGTGGAAGGCGGAACCGAAAAGGATATAGAAAGAAGACTTTCTCTGGCACAAAAATCCTTTAAAAGTTTAAACAAAATATGGTCATCAACAATCCTATCCAGAAAAAACAAGATTAGAATATTTAGATCAAACGTAAAAAGCATTTTATTATATGGTGCAGAAACATGGAAAAATTGTACTAGCATAGGAAAAATTCAAACCTTTATTAATAAATGTCTGAGAATTATATGTGGTATATTCTGGCCAAACACTATAACAAACGAAGAATTACACAGAACTACAGAAGAAGAAAAAGTGGAAAGAACAATTAGGAAAAACAGATGGAAATGGATAGGACAC